TAATAGGAAGCACAAGGGGACACCGAAAACAGATGCTGTAGTAATAACTACTGTTTTTTCCTAACATTATTGACCAGATACATTTTTCTGCCATGATTCGGTGTTACCGGTTATCGATAGGAGCAACATACTTCACATTACCGGTTTTGGTCCCGGTCTCTCTCTCTCTAACCAAAATAATTCATTCCTTGGGTCCACTTGTGCATAGAACAGGTGGATCCCCACCGTTCAATGTAGTGTTGACCAATCATCTTAGGAATAAGTGTTGAAGAATTTAAAATAAACTTCTGAGTCAAAAAGTCAACAGACTCTCTAATCCGATAACAAACACACGGATCTATACACGCCCAGGCACAATGCGATAACAAAAGAACTACTTAAATCAAGCTTACTGAGACCAGTTCCAGCTCCCCCCAACCCAGCAGTTCCGCTGCCAAGACCGAACCCGGTTGTGCCCAGGCCGAAACCACCGGATCCACCCAGTGTAGCCGGTTTCTGACCTATCCCGAATCCGGTTGTGCCGGTACCAAACAATGAAGATCCAGTGCCAGTGGGTGTCGCACCGAGCCCAAATGTCGGCGCGGTTGACGAAACAGTCGCACCGGTAGCACCGCCGAATAGACCGCCGGCCTGTGTTCCTTGACCGAATCCAAACACCCCAGGAGTAGCAGCGGATGAAACAGTCGTATTAGTGAATCCCGTACCAAATCCGAACGTCTTTTTTGCAGTCAACGAGTTCGTGGTATTTTGACCGAATAGTCCACCCGCACTGGATGCTGTTCCAGTTCCGAAACCACCAAATGCGGGAGTTTGAGTATTCGTTAGACCAGCACCAAAGCCAAATGTGGTGCCCGATGCTGAAAAAGACAGAAAGGAGGAACGGAATTTGATTTTCTTGTACAATTAAATGCGTTCTAAATGGAAAAGTGAGATAAACGAAAAGTAAGATGCGCTAGAATTTTTGCACTTTCAACACAAAGACTAGAATAAAGGCGCCTTCCTTGAAAGCCGATGGGTACAACCCATCCGGGCCGGGACCATTTGATGAAACTTATTTTTCGAGTAAATTCAGTTTCAGAAGACTTGGTATCAACTGGTAAAAGTTGTAAAGTTGGGGCAGAAGTTGACTAATCCAAAGACGATAGAGACCAGTTGAACCGTCTAGTAAAATGTTCTGTCCGTCATGCTAAACGGTATAGCTAAATGTGCTACAATGCACCGCAGGATTGCTCAACAACCTTAACCAAGCCCAGTTTCTGTGAGCCCGTTCTCCTGACCAGATGTAAAAGATTGCGACTGTTATCCACAGCCGCAGTTGTCTTCATCCCCTTACTCGCCACTTCTCGCAGTCATTTATTGACCTGTTGATGAGCTGGCGTTTAGGAGAGTTGCGCATTTGGCAGTTGGAGGAATCGTTATATGAGCGTCCCACAAAGCAGCTGGGTTGGATGAAATTCACCGTTTCCGTTTGGATTGTTTACTTATATCCATTGTTCTTTTGAAAGATGATTAAATAGTTAATTTATGTAGCTTCCGAAGTGAATGGTTGAACTGAGAGGTGATGAGAGAGCTCCGCTTCGAAGGCCAACTTGCAGCTGTCGCTTACATTTTATTGGTGGCTTTCTTGTGGTTGTTTACCAGGTGTAGGGAGAATCTGGCTCGTAACAGAGGATGGCCCGTATCTACGGATGTTGGCCAGTAAGAGCGAACTCCAAAATGGATCCCCAACCGCGGTAACTGATAGCAAAGTAGTCCATTTGGGTACTTCACTAAGAAGAGTAAGGGGTTTACCGAGTAAAGCGATGCTATGCAAGGAGTTGGTGCTTGAAAAGGACAACCGTTGTCTGCACAGCACTCATTAGTTCAGTGATCCCAGTTGATTACTGAAGCCGCCATTGATTACTATGATGTCCGTTGAGCGAACACCTTAGGGTATTGAGAAAAGTTATTTTACAAATCAGCCTTCGTTTCCGGTGAACTGAGATGAGTCGGCGCGCATAGAGACAGGACGAATTAGCACTGACGCTTCGTTCTGCACGGCACTGAATCATCGAGACGTTCAGCGCAAAGCTGCCTACCGACTGGAATCCAATCAAGGAGCAAACACTGAGCTTAGAAATAATGCAATTCCGCCTCCGATGAAACAGAGTGTCGGATGCGGAATGGCGTGACGCACGGAGAGTGAAACGTGAAGATGAAGTTTGGTCCGAAGTGTCATTCATTGCCAACTTTCAAGTAGGAACTGAATTCGATAATCAAACTGTAGAAAAGACACTTCTAATCTTTGCAAGATGTTTTGGGTGGTTAGTGGAGAGACATAGGTCAAAGTGATGTAATCTGTGCTCAGGCTTGGGAGTATGTCACCTCGAAGCAACTCCGCACTAGTAAGTGTCATACGTCGTTACTTTCAT